AATAGGGAAAGAACAGGAACAAGAATGAATATATTTTGCGGTCCCTGTATCTTCTGTCACAATGTTTCTTTCCAACCACATTTCTGAGCCTCTGCAGGACATCAGGTCTCAGGCACTGTGCTGACTCAGATGGAAACAGGTACATTTCATACTGCCTCCCAATCCTCCCTTCTCACCAGAATGCCAATGGAATGTTCCAGAACTCTTGATTAGAGATATGGTAAAATTCAAGGTGAAGGATGCCTGAAAAACCAGATGTGAGTGGTTTAAACCCAGTGAAAAGGTGACTGAGCACATGGTCCGAAAAGCCCCTTTGGGTGAGATGAGGGTCATGAGGTAGGTGCTCCTGACTTCCTGAGTACCTTCCACATTTTACAGATGAGAAAATACAAGGCAACAAAACATTAACTTGCATAAGGATGCACAGCTACAGGGAGGGGTAGATTCACATTCTAGATCATTTGCAGTGCTGTGTGCCATGATTTTCCTCATTGATCAGTACTACAATCACTTCCATTGGCTTTGTTTCCCTTTTGAATATCCAGAAAGTCTGTCAGGTATGTCCTGGTGATCCCTCTCCTGACAGCTGGGCACAGCTATGGGTACTGTCCAGTTCAGGGGCCGTCACTCCCATTGTCTATACCAGGGAACAGTTGTTTCCACAGGGCTCCCCTCTCTCAGGGCTGTACTCCGGAAAAGCAGCCACAGAAGAGGCGCCTCCAGCTTCTTTGGCTTTCTCATTGGGTAAAGCCCCCAAATTCCCATGAGCTTGCTTCTACTGCTGCTGTCAGTTGCCCATCTGCTCCTCCTTCCTAAGCCAAATGCAGAATATGAGGCCCAGGCTTGTTGGTTTCAGAGCACATCCTCTCAGCTTGGGTCCTGGCTGTCCTAGAATTTACATGGATGTGACATTCCCTTGGGAGCTTGGATTTTCCATGTGGAAACAAAATGTTGAGAGGAGGAGGACTTAACCAAAGGGAATGCCAGGCCACTGTGTATCTCAGCAAGCCTTAACAGGAGGGACATTTGCATAGTGAGTGCCAGAGGGTTACCCTGGGACCTAGAGAGTCCCTGTGTCTGAATCCTAACTTCAACACTTACTGGTTTCTTGCTTTGACCTTTATCAGCCCATTTCTGAATCTGTTGGTGGGGGGGGTTGATACTCAATTTTCAGACTCATTGGCAAATGAAGATTAGGTATATAAAATACAACTGACCATCCATAATTAAACACTGGCCTAGAGTGATGACAAATTAGTGTCTTCTTTTCTGTATCACTGCATTGCATTGTACCTTACAGGGGAAACTGAAGCTTCAAATTGTTAGGCTCCATGACAAGGTGACAAAGGTATTCATTGCTGGAAATGGAAGGACACTTTTCACTTGTTGTACACAAGAACACCATGAAGGACATTTTATTTCACCAAACTCAGTGATCCTGAGCAAACACCTTACCTAAGGGGCAACACTGAACATCATCAAAGAAGGCCACAGCAAACCACAGCTCTGACAGAATAATCCATTTGACAAGACACGGTGATACTGTGACAGTGCACTCTATGGAAACATGATACCTTGCTTTCATAAGCTCCACTCCAAGCCTCAGTGTTCCCTTTTATAAAATGGACATAGTATCTGCCTCCCTCCCTAAGAGTTAATGGGATGACAGTTAAATAACATCACTGGCTTACCGGGGAGCTTGCCACACAGATGCAATCAGCAAAGATTAAATGGCTTAACCTCATTCCTTTCCTTCTGACTCCAGCAAGGTTAAATGACATCCTTTGTAAGCAGAGGTTCCATTTCTAAGAAAATTCATTTCTCTGCTTTTGGTTGAACTTTGATCTAATTTAATGGTTAATATTTGTATCAGCTATTTTTAATGCATGATAAAGCACCCCAAAATATAGTAATTTAAAACAACAATTGCAACAATTGCCGAGGATTCTGCAGGTTGACAATTTCAGCTGGGCTCATGTGATTCTTTTGCTTTCTCAATAAAGCCTACACATGCATCTGGGACCTGTCAGCTAAGGGGCTCTGCTGCGGCTGAATGGTCCAGGATGGTCTCAGACATATGTTGGGCAATTGGTTCAGTGTCACCTGGGGCAAATGGGATGAATGAGCCATAGGGCTCTCATCATGCAGCTACCCTAGATTGCTGTCATGGGGTTTTAAGAGCCAAAAGAGAGAGAAACCCTAGCGTACAAGCACTTTTCAACTCTATGTTTACTTCATATTTGTTGTTATGCTGGTGGACAGAGACAGTTCCAAGGTCAAGCCCACCAACCAAGGAGAGAGGAGACACTGCCCAGCAGGAATGCACTGCACTCATTGCCCTAAATGTCTAGTGCCACAGTGATGCAGAATTACACAGTTTAGAAAAACAATTAAATATGAATAAACCAGACTCTGCAATGCTGAACTTGTAAAAATGATTTTTACTCTTAAAAGTTATTTAGTTTTTTAAATCATGGTCATTCTCACCACATTCCTCTCGGGTGAATGACAAAATTATTTTGTGAAATTCTGAAAAAAAAAACCTAACCTGGAAATTTCCTTGTTGTATCAAACGAGTAAGTTGTGGAACTCCCTATCCAGAAACATGCTATGACTTTGCCACCAGGAGTCCAGCCTGCATCTCTTTCCACATTCAAATGTTCCTGTTCCTCTCACGGGCCATGGATTTGTCCCCAGCAGAGGCATGTTGCATAAGCAGAGTCTTCTGTGGAAGGGATGGAACAAACTAGAAAATGGCACCTCCGGTGACAAAGGGAGATGGGACCTGCAATGTGAAGCAGACTTGGGTCATGGCTGGGGCCTGGGTGGACCATACCAGCTCAGACACCAGCCCAATCTGCCAGCTTTGCTGAAGAGCCAGTTGCTTTTCTCAAATCATCTTTCAGAGCCCTGAGCAGAAGTGCTATCATGCACTACGAACTCCTCACCATACTTTTTAGGATCTCTTGGGATTTTACACATTTTGTGGTGGTTGACACTGCCAGTTTGATAGTCATCATTTCTCCTGATGGCATGCATGAAAGCTCCAGATCTTCAAAAGATCAGTGTTTCATTCTTCTATTAAACAACTTCTTTGTAAATTTTTTCCCCTGAGGTGTGTCCTAAGAAAATGTTCTTTTTGTCAGGAAATCATGATAACATTGATTTCACCAGTTTGGACTTTATTGTTTATAATCTCATCATACCAGAAAGAACTTACAAAAATATTTAGTATTGTGGACAATAATAGGCATATTTATGTTCATCACGATTGTAATGGAATTTTTCTAGGTGTTTAACATCATGTGTGTAGTTGCGAGTTAGGGTAGCACGGAGGGATTTTATTTTCCAGCTTGTTTTCAATGAACAGGTTTGGTTTCCCTGAAAAACTTTTTGATCATCCATCCATCTTGAACATATCATCAGTAGAAACAGTATTTTTATTGAAGTCACTGTTTTCATTTGATCAGGTTCTTCATGTATGACCCAGTCCTTTTTGTCACTTCATGCCCTAGATAGTTCAGGCTTTTGTGGTCCCTGGGAAAAGACCATCATCTTCATTAGCAATTCTGGGTACACACGGAATCAAGCAGATGCCTGGAAACTAAATGTTTCATGACTGGTTTCCATTTACTTTTCAGTGTCCATCTTCCCGAGAGGGAAGGGATGATTTCAACAAAAAGGTCGGTTTCTATGACCTCCCCGGGACACTTGGCTGATGTCAGCAGCCTGTAAGAGAGAGACAAAGGTCCTTAGTATGCAATACGACAAAGTTAGGGACATCAGACTGCTTCTCTATGAGGCTATTACTCGAAGGAGGGACCAGAGAAACACTGAGAAGAAATACATGGAGAAGGAAGGCTGAAGGCTGCTAACTCTGGCACCTCTGGTGAGGTGCCATTTCTCTTCCAAGTGGACAGGATGAGCAAACAGAGGTGAGAGAGCGCCCAGTGGCTTTGCTGGAGTCACATACCAGACTTTTTCAAGTCAAATTGTAAAACCTGAAGACTGCCATGGAGCGCCACGCACAAGTTTCCCCCAAAGGCTGGCAATGCTTATGAATAAGAAAGACACAGAAGGGTGGGGGTGTGGATTCTTGGGATTTGATACAAGACCACCGGGGGGTGGTTCCCTAGTAGTGAGGTGTCTATGACTGAAAGTTGAAAGGTTTGGAACTAGGAGGCGAGAAATGGCCTCGGGAGGAAACTGAGGATCAGAGAGGTTACAGACGACTTAAATAGGGGTTTAAGAAACGCGTTAAGGGAAGGCTTGTGCCAAGCAAGACGCCTGGCAAGGTGGAGAACCTGTTGAAGAAAGAAAACCGCATGATGTGACTCAGCAAGATGATCTTGCCAAGAATCCCGCTGGTCATCTTGCGGCCAGGGGGCTCTTCCCATCAACAGCCAGTGCCTTTCGTCTCGGGAGATGAGGCTGAGGACCCAGCGGCCCCGGGGTGTGTAAAGACCCGCGTGTGCTTGGCGCAACGTGGGGGCGGGTGGGTGAGGAGCACCGTCCGGCGGCACCACAGCCACAGCCACGCTGGGCCGAAAGACACACGTGGAACGGTCTCCCGGGCAGGTGCCAATGCGGCGAATCTCGCTGTGTGGGCAGGAGGTTCCCGGCCCCAGAGGTGCGGGGCGCCTGCGCAGTGGGCCTTCGGCGTCGCGCGCTCCGGGAGCCAGGAGACCCCCGCCCCCGCCCCTCGCCCTCCGCCGTGAACGCGCACGCGGACCGGCCCGCGAGCGCGCACGCGAATGCGCCTCACCTCGCTCAACCCCTGCCGGGGGGCGGCTGAGCGACAGAGGGCGGGAGCGGCGCACTGGCGGTGGCGACGCGGTGGGCTGCGTGCGGAGTCGTGGGCTGCCGGGTCCGGGGAGGCGGCGGAAGCGGCGCCTCCAATCAGGCGGCGGGTGGGGACCCCTCCGCGCGCCCGGCCGGCGGCTGCCCGCCCCGCGGACTGACTGACGCGCCGGCTCGCCCCCGCCCCCGCGCCCGCCCCCGCGCCCGCCTAGTCTTCCCTCGGCCGCACTCGCTGCTCCCGCGACTCTCTCTGGAGCCCGATCGCTCTCGCTAGCTCTCGCTCTCGCCCTCGCCCGGCCCTTTCTCTGCAGACCGGCTGCTCTGCTGCTCGGCGGCGGCTCCGGCCACTCTGGCGGCGGCCTCCAGGATGAAGTGCAAGCCGAACCAGACGCGGACCTACGACCCAGAGGGCTTCAAGAAGCGGGCTGCATGCCTGTGCTTCCGCAGCGAGCGCGAGGACGAGGTGCTGCTGGTGAGCAGCAGCCGGTACCCGGACCGCTGGATCGTGCCCGGCGGGGGCATGGAGCCCGAGGAGGAGCCCGGCGGCGCGGCGGTGCGAGAGGTGTACGAAGAGGCGGGAGTCAAGGGGAAGTTGGGCCGGCTCCTGGGCGTTTTCGAACAGAACCAAGATCGCAAGCACAGGACCTACGTGTATGTACTGACTGTCACCGAGCTGCTGGAAGATTGGGAAGATTCCATTAGCATCGGGCGCAAGCGAGAGTGGTTCAAGATCGAAGATGCCATCAAGGTCCTGCAGTGCCACAAGCCCGTGCACGCCGAGTACCTGGAGAAACTGAAGCTGGGCGGCTCCCCGACCAATGGAAACTCCGTGGCCGCGTCGCAGAGCGATCCCTAGTATGTACCGCTGGCGCCCGGACTTCGGTGGTCGCCTGGCTTCAGAAGAGCCCTGCCGGAGGGAGCACCTCTCCTGCCATGTGCGGTCGCACGGGCAGGAGAGAGGCTTCTTTTGTTTCCCTGGCAGACCTCTGAATCACGCTTGCAAATTGTCTCAGTCGCCAGGCACTGTTTTCAGACAATTTGCACGTTTTTCAGACGCTTTCAAAATCGCTTCTTGGCGACACTGTAAAATGTTTCGGTAAGCCAAAGCTGCAAGGGGTTTCGTTTAAAGGTGCCTTAAGTGCTGGCCCTGCTCTGCTCTTGGGGGTGGAGGGTGGGTGTGTGCGCGCGCCTTGTGATGTTTTGGTTTGGGCTTTTTTTTTTTTTTTTGTACTTCACATGTTCGTGCGTGAGTGTGCGTGCGCATTTTGGATAGCAGGCGTGTGGTTTGTTTCGGAGTGGAGGCCTTTTAAGTGCGCCCTGCTTGATCGTGTGGGCATCTTCTATTATTTTTCCCCCGAAGTTTCCTTTTCCTTCACAGCCTTCCTTCATCCTTGCCAGCAAGCTCTTCTGTGGTGGGAGTTGGTTGGGATCGTTTTAAATTAGAAAAATGGGAAAATTTAAAGCTTGTGCTCTTCCTGCAGTCAAACAGAAAATTTCGGCTTCAGAAATGGGATCTGATGTGCCTCTTTCAGAAATGCCTGTGTCTATTCATAAGTAGATCGTTTGATTTTTTTTTTTTAAATTCCCACCTTAGGTGGTTTTTCACTGCTGACTAGAAATTTTCATTTCCCATTGAGTTTATGAGGTATTGCCCTATAAAGTAGATATTTCTGGGGAATTGCTAGCAAAACGCATGTGATGGCCACCTCTTATAATGAAAACTGTATTCATAGAGTATGATTTAGCCTGCTGGACTTCCAATGCCTAGTGCCCATTTCTGGACACCCTGGAAGAACTGGATTCTCCGAGTATGCACTCGTTTTTGATGGAAATCATCTCCCATGTTTGAATTTAGTGATGACCAGGTTAAAGTTCCCTGACTGGTGGTAACCACAGGAATGGAATCTTTTAGGGTGATGGCATCCCAATGGAATGTGTTACATCTCTTTGTTATTCACTGTTACAAATTTTGCAACCTGTTAAGACACCTGAACAATTTCTCTTTTAGGCTGAGGATAAGTATTTTGTTTCACAGGACAAAGTTTTTGGGGTGTCAAATGAGAAACTCTTTTTCCTTGGTATCAGAAATCCCATCTACAATACATTAGTCTTTCTTCTGGAACTTCTATGTTTCCTCAGCCTCCTCTGAAATTAGGTAGAAGAAAGCCTCTTTTGTGAAGAGGGTATTGGGGTTGCCTGATTTTTAGGGCAGCCTTCAATAGGTTTGTATCTCATTAATGTTGTTGATAGGTATTTTGGGTCACTCAAAACTTTTGGGTCACTATTATTCACTATATATTTAAAATTTTTGGCTTTTATTCTCTGTAATCTAAATTCCTCTCCTGAGATGTTTGAGAAAAACACCCATTTTGTTAAGAGTGCATGCCTGGGGATATCTTTCTTTATATAATACTTAACTCTTAAAGTATTCTACAGACCAATAATAAAAATGATAAATAAAGACAACAATAATTAAGTATTTTGTTATTCTACACATTAGCTGTTAAAAGATCACAGTCACTCAGAATTGAGTATCATTTTTTAAATCTTTGTTTCCACTGTTTTAAAAATAAGCTCTTTGCCATATATGAATATATCTAATTAAAGAACATTAAATTAACAAAAATAATGTTGTCAAAGGAATGAGAAGACTAGGAGACAGCTTATAAAATGAGCTTTAAGATAAATATATAATTTCATATTCTAAATTTTACCAAAACAATGAATATGATTCTCAATAATTATCCAGTAATATGCATTGACTGATAGATATTGTCAGTAACATCAAATTCTTTGAAGTGTACAGTAACACCTGAGAAATGGGATTATTAGTTTGTTACTTTATTTTATACATAAAACTACCTCCACCTGAAATACCACAAATACTTGGGAGGTTTAACTTATATCTGGCATTGTTAGAGATAATAATGTACAATCTAATTTTTTACTCTTGAGGTAATTTTTTTGACAAATGTGAAAAGGACAGTGTTGATGACAACCAATTTTAAATGTTGTTAACTAGTTAAGATTTGCTGGTTTTTACTCAGAAACATTTGGATTGAGTATTACTACTTGCTAAGATTTTCTTTAGCATCCAGATATCTTTATTTTATGCAAGTTGTAAAACTTCCAAGACTTTCATTCCCAAATTGGAACAGAACATTTTACAGCTAGCACACTTTATGCCTTCAAATTCACATAGGTGGTTCTTGTTAAATATACTTCTGCAGTTCAATCTAGAAAAAATGAAAATGACCCAAGTAGTCTTTCATTTTAAAGAGTAATCCAAATAGTGCAGGATAAAACAATTGACCAGAGATAAAGCAAATGGTGTCTATAATCTCCATTCTCCAAGTTTGGTAAACAGGTAGTATTTTATCCTTACACAGTCATTTCATAGCACATATGCATTTTTTATGTGATGATTGCAGTAAAAATGTACAGCCAAATTTTTCAGTTCATACCATACCCCTAAAAATCCAAGTGCACTGAACAAAAATAATTAAATTTTAATACATGAAGTAGAAATTTTTTTCAGCACGTTTTTAAAGGGCTGATTCCCCCCCCCCACACACACACACACACACACACTGGAAAAGTGCCTATTCTTATCCTAAAAACAATTTGAAGACATTTCAGAGTAAAGGGTATTTTGATATGCTTGACACAGATTAACATTATATTTTCTAAGAAACCTATGTTCTGTTTATCAGATAACTTGTAAGAGGTTCAGAGTGGCTATGAATAATTATTTTGTATGATTTCACTTGAGAGAATTGTAAAGAGTTTTTTTTTTTGTTTGTTTTTTTTTTGTATTTAGAAACATCAATAAAGCTTGAAGTGTGGGTAAGAGCAGGAACAGGCAGCTTGTAAAGTACCAGAAATGTTGGTTGCCCTTCTGGGAAAGATTGCTTAAAGAGCCCAGAATCTGGAGCTGCTCCTTCTCTTTAAATGGAGTTGACTTGTAAGAAAGCACACTTCTTCCCTCAATAGTTGTTAATTGGGAAAGAGAGGTAAAAATACTGTTTTAGAGCTTGTAGTACTAACAGCTGGCCAGATCTTTCTTTTTCAGAGTTACTTTTGTGGAAACACCAAGCAAAACAAATGTTTTCAGCATCATTCTAATATTGTAATCATCTTTCTGACTGACTGTTGCCCCATTAGAATATGGACTCTTTGAGGACTAGGACCTAGCCTGAATCTTCCCCATATGTTCAGAGCCCAGAACAGTGGCTGGAATCTGGAGACATTTATCATTGATCCACAGATTAGAAATGTCTACTACCAGTGTATTTCTGATTTATCAGCTTCATAATGTACCTGGTACTTGGGACAGTCTGTTATTTCCTCAGGCTCTCGTCTGGCCTCACAGTGGAACTGTACTGGATAATTCACTGAAGTCTTTTCCGGTGGTTGATGAACCATAGTAGATCCTCAGTAAATGTTTGTTGACTAGAAGAACTGATAACCAGTAAAACCCTATTAATGAAATTGTTTTTTTTTAGGTGAATGGCATAGATGTTGTTCAGATTTACTTTGAAAGAATCAAGTGTGTGAACCCAATGGTGAATGGAATTGTGAAGCACAGGTGAGCTCTTTGACATCCCCAAGAACACAGCTCATCCTATGCTTTTGGACACTTCTTTTCTGTTAAAACAATGGCTCTTCTCCAGGTTGTTGCACTACCACTGTATCTGTACAGAATTCTATTTCGGCACCTGTGGCCTTCTTTTTGTGCTTTTTCAATTATGTGTCTGTATTTCCCACCAGATATGATATTGAATGCAAGGAACTTATTTCCTTTAGTCTTTTTATATATCTAGCATACAAGACATCACTTGAAATAAGGTAGACATCACTGAAGACTTGTTTAAATAATTTAATATTTTGTAATAACATTGAGTGGTAAAACATCTGCTTCTCATCTGCCTAGCATATATATGGCTTTTGTATATCAGGTGTCACAAAACTGTTTCAAGGCAGTTGTGATGTATTAGCAAAAAAATTCTTACTCCTATGTCTTAGTCATCCCAGACATTATGTACCTCCTGATGTGAGTATACCACACCTTCTTTGAAATGTATTTGCCAAAATTTTGAACCTAAATTTAACCATGCTTCTAGACAATATTCCTCATCTATAGAAAATATAGACTATAGACTGAGAAATATACTATTCTACAGCACAGAGATGAGATCAACAGAATCCTGACTACAGGAAACTCTCCAGGACAAATGACTCAGTCTCTTCAGTAAATATATTACAGGGATGAAACACAGAGATGGAGGATGAACCTATCGGTTGAAAGAGTCTTATTCATATTTGCATGAATCTTATTTGGATCCTTATTTGACCAAACTGTAAAATGAGTATATTTATGAGACAATCAGGAAAATTTGAACATTGACTGGATATATGATATTAGTTGTGATAATGGTATTAAGAAAATAAGAATTCTTATCCACATCCAAGTATTTACAGTTGAAATGATGTCTGGGATTTGCTTCAAATTAATAAATCTATATATTAAGTCCATTGGAAGTATTGAAATAAGATTGGCCTTTAAGATTGCTAAAGCTGGGTGATGCTTAAATGATAGCTTATTACATATGTTCTCTCTAATTTTGTATGTTTGGCAGTTTCCTTAATAAAATGTTAATACAAATAGTTGTTGGAGTTCTTTAAATTAAAGTTGATATGTGAGATGGAGGGAAATTTTAGATTGTTTAAAAATTTTGGGTTCTGGGGTACCAGTTCTGGCCTAAGAGGTCAAATGCCCAAAAAGGGAGGGGAGACATACCCTGAAATGCCTAGTGGTCCCAGACCTCTAGTGATACATTCCAATGTTAGGAGTTTTTATTTTAATTTGTTCCATTGGAATAGGAAAAGTTAAGTCCTTATTTATACCTATTGGAAAATGAGAATGGATTGTCAGATGAACAGGGCTTTTGACAACACCTATAGTCAAGTTCATGCTAATCTGACAAATCTAACTGGCAGGAACTCCAAGAAACAAGTATATGGAATTTTATAAAATCCAAATAATGCCATTTTAATAGTTTTTTTTTTGGGGGGGGAACAATAGGTGTGGATATGTTTGTTGCACAGTAATTAAAGTTACATTTGAAGGTAGCTGAAAGGAAAGTAAGAAGTTCACATTTCTGATTGTAGTGAGCCATTTGTATTTCATAGACTGCAGATATTCCTTAGAAATCTAACCTTCTAGGTCAGAGTGAAGCTGTGTTTACACTGATAGGCCTAGGGGAAATCCCACCTTTTTGTGGGTCAAGAAGGAGCAGGAAAAAAGTAGGGACAGTATTGGGGGCTCCTTTCAGGGAAGACAAATCCCTTCCTAGGTATGAAAGTAAGCTGCCCTTCTGCTATCTAAGTGTGCTCTAATTCCCAAAGCAAGTAGTTTCTCAGAACCAACTTACCTGGGAAAGGAGAGGTGACAGGTTTACCTTAGAGATCTTTCCCACTCATAGCTCAGCAGTTTTCAATTCCAAGGTTTCCCTATGAGATGGCATAGTAATATACCAGAAAAACTTTCATGTCTTTCCCTGGATATAGTTTTCTCTAATTTGAGTCAATTCTGATTTAGCAGATATTTTAAAAATTGGAGTCAAGCAAATAGTCAGGACATCTGTAGATGGTAGTGGTAAATTAAAACAAATAGTGGTTTGGAGTTGAGTCCTAACAAGTCATTGTCAAAACTGGCCTCACCAGAGGTTACATAGCCTCTGCCAGGTTAATCTTCTTCTCTAATCTTCAGTTTTCCCATTTGCAAAATGGGGATATTCATAGCCCTCACCTAAGCAAATCACTGTTTCTGAGATGCCCTTCTTGATCTCCCAGAGCATTATATTCTTGTGTGTTCCTGGAACCCATTGCTTTGTTATGTCACAGTTCTTATCAAAATAATACATTCATTAGCCTGAATGTTTCTGAATTCCAAACGCTGAAGTCCCGTAGGTCTGAGGCCCAGCTCAGTACCACATAAAAGAAATAAATAAAATAAAGGTCCATCAACAACTAAAAAATGGGTCGCCCCTGTTCCCCAAAGTCTTAACATAGAGCCTGAAACATATCACCCATGATCTTTGTATGTTTATTATATAAATGATTGTCACACTCCTACTTGTCAAACATACGCTGTTGTTTGTTATTTTACAAAGTATTTGTTTTCTGGAAAATATGAAGAACAAGACACCATAAGATGTGGTCTATACCAAGTTTCTTTTAATTCAGGAGAATATTTTATCTACAAATCATGTTTTTTTTCAGAATCTTGCAGTTCCAATATAGTCCTAATTTCTTAGCTTTATAAAGGACTATATGATATTCCATCAGATGCTAATTTGGCCCCACAGCTATATTAGATATTTTAGTGAAGGCTCCCCAAATACAAAATGATTGAAGAACATGATAAGCCCTCAGTAGTCAGTGTAAGAACTATTGAATGAAATCAAGTACATTAATTACATTGTTTTAGTTTATGGGTAAAAGATAACAATCAGAGGCTGGAGTTGTGGCTCAATGGTAGAGCACTTGCCTTAAGTGTGTGATGCACTGGGTTTGATTCTTAGCACTGCATATAAATAAATGAATAAAATAAAAGTCCATCTGCAACTAAAAAATATATATTTTTTAAAATTATAACAATCAGGACTATATGGTAATAAGATCATACATACAAGGCCAAGGCCTAACTGATTTGACAGATAATAGATACAGGGAAGCACTTTCAGATTTAGACAATTCAGTTTCAGTATTTGTATTAACAGTGCAAAGAAGAATGAGACAAAGGGGCAAGCTCCCCAGGTCCTTGCCCTACATACCCTAAAAGAAAACAAAGAAACAATAGAGTCTTGGTTGTGGCTCAGTGGTAGTGTGCTTGCCTAGCATGTGTGAGGCACTGGGTTCGATTCTCAGTACCACATAAAAGAAAGAAATAAAGGTCCATCAACAACTAAAAAAATAGTTTAAAAAAAGAAACAAAAGAAGCTGGATGATTCTAATGCAAGTTGAAGGATATTCTTGCTGAAGAGCCATATCTAAACTGCAGGACAGTGGTTTTATATTCTGTAGTTCTATTGTGAAGGACATAAGATAGGCAGCTCCATGTCTCATCAGAAATGGATTGGTGGTGAGAATTAGTTCATGACAGTCTCCAAAGGAGATTGGGAAGTGAATGAGAGATGGCCTGATAGCCTCCCATCTTACCAAATTGGAGGATCACAAGGTATCTAACCAACATTCAGATTAGCTGCACTGGTCATCTGTTGGCCACTACCAAGACACAGAAATGGTCCCCACCACAAAATTTGATTCAGATAACAAGGCTAATGACACCACATACACATTAACATGTGATCAAAAGTTTATTCTGTTAAGAGGCTTTTTGGGGGGAGAGTAAGGCAGGCTTCTAAAGCAGATTTGAAAACATCTTGAAAGAGCAAGGAAAGGAAATTAATTTTTTTTTGGTACCAGGGATTGAACTCAGGGGCACTAGACCACGAGCCACATCCTTAGCCCTGTTTTGTATTCTATTTAGAGACAGAGTCTCACTGAGTTGCTTAGTGCCTTGCTTTTCTTGGGCTGTCTTTGAACTCACAATCCTCTTGCCTCCACCTCTCAAGCTGCTGGGATTACAGGTGTGCACCACTGCACCCAACTGGTTTGGAGTTTTTATGGTGGTTGGGTTGTGGGATCAGGTTAAGGTTTCCAGGGTGCATCTGGGGGCTTTCATGGTGTGAAACTCCCCCAGGCATTAAAGGAGAGAGCACCCAGGGTTTTTACTAGGTTATCTAGATGTAGTCCTGAAAGGGAAGAGGGAGGGGTGAGGCTTAAATTCTGTTAACAGTCAAACATTAAAAAAAAGACTTACAATTTACTCCTAATGTTTGACAACTAAAGTGTATCATGTTTTTCTAATTGGATTTAAACCAGTTTAAATCAGTGATTATGGTACTCTGGTAGCCTGAGACATGGAAGGAGGCTGAAAGTTCCATCCAATGTTTTGTACTAGAGCTCCCCATTGTATATCAGAATAAGGGAGATGAAATCCTTGGTCATCAACAACATATGGAACTCAAAAGACAACTAGGAGTGTCTTGATTAATCTTTGTATTGTAGCCAGTGCATCCACTGCTAAGATGATAGTCTGAAGTTTGGCCCATTGTACTGATCCTTAGGTTTAGTCCTTTGCTAGAGATGCCCCTGGTTAAGTGAATACAAGTAGCAATAATCCACTAAGATCTACCATGTAAAATTGGGACAATGTGTACATAAAGTGCACAAACTCTCATTTTCTTCATTCAGTTTATCTAATAGGGGTCCCTTGGTAGCTGACATATCTGGGAAAGGGGTAACCCTCCAGCATCACAGAATCTAGAAAAGGACTAAGGAACAGTGAAGCCATTCCCAAACTATAAGTGTGACATGCCAAATGGCCCAGATTTGACTCCAAACTAGCAAAGAGGCTTTGGTGGCTGTGGTGAGTTTGTAGAGTGTTGCTTTCAAGACCCCGGGCAGAATTAGCTGGAAATGGAGAATCACATGCAGAGTGTCAATAAGGACCTCTCTCCAAGAGACTCCAGTGTATATGCCGCAGTCTGGCTGGGCACACAATCACGAGCCACCACACAGCTTGTAGATTCAAACAGCAACTCTTTATTCCCGAACTCACACCAGCCGTCTACAATCACGTTCTGGGGAAATCCACGTTCTCTGCCCAAATCCACCTCCACTGGGCTTCTATCTCCCAAAAAATACTGTCTGAATCCCGTGAGAACTCAAGGGGAACTCAGGCAGCAGGATACGCCCTATTCCCAGCAGGAATAATCTTAAACCTTAAACGCCCTAAACCCGATTATCCTAAACCAGGAACACCCTAATCCGCCCTGGTCCTTGAGCAAGGTCACCTCCATGCAATGTCACTGCAAAATGTCCTATTTCCACGAGTCCTTCCACTAAGCAACATGGGGTACGCTGGCAAGGAAATTGTCATACCTACTTGGCTAATGGCTCCCAGCATGTATAGACAGCAGTGGCCACTCTAAAGACATATAGATGAAGTCTAAGAGGGCAATTTTTGAATCAGTAAGCAATGGACAATTGATGGCCATCATAGGTAATCCAGAGATTCCAATATATGAGGATATAAAAGGAGGTAGCTAAAGCCTTCCAGGGAAGGTGTACATTGATTTGATTGCCTATTGTACTGTAATATTTAAAAAAAAATTCTAGACTTTTTTTTTGGAGGGGGCTCCATTTGAGGTGAGCCTGTTTGCAAATAATGGCACACATGGGTCAAAGCAAAATTTCTAAGTGAGAAATGTTACCTCCAGAACCCAGAAAGGCATAAAAGATGATGGAATATTTTAATGTTGTGGTTATTAAGAAGGTCAGTAGATATTTTGACAATGTCAGGGATAGAGCAGCTCTCAGTTTACCAAATAATTTTCAAGAACTTAAACAAAGTTGTGAGGCCTTGTGCTATGTGCTGGGCAATGGCCAACCCACCTACCTTTTGTGTTACTGGGGATTGAACCCAGGGATGCTCTTTTAGTTAGCTTTTTCACTGCTTTGACCAAAAGTCCTGATAAAAACACTTAGAGGAGGAAAAGTTTACTTTAGGGCTCATGATTTCAG